AGCGATCGCCTTTTTTAGGGATCGGATGTATCGAAGCGGTCTTCCAGCACTTCGGGACAGTGCCGAGCGAGTACAGGTACCGGAAAAGGCGCGTTAAGACCGGAGCCAACTCAGGAGCACAAGTACGCAGCACAATTGGGGGGATACCATCCGGCCCGCTCGACTTATGAATGTCCAAGGAAGATAGTGCTTTGCGGACAGCACGTTGCCGGAATGTGATTTCCGGCATCGAAGAATCACACCGCGAAATGGTCGGTGGTGATCTTCCTTGGTCATCCAAAGTCGAGTTGGACGCGAAGAGACAGCCCAAAAGGTCGGCCTTCTCCTTCGCAGTGTGGGCCTGAGAGTCATCCTCCCTGTGCAGTGGCGGAATGGCGGGCTGACAAAAATTCCCTTGGACAGCTTTGGCGAGAGACCAGAAGGCTCTAGTCCCTGAAGGGAGCTGGGCCAATCTCTCGCCAAATCTGGCAATGTGCTCTGACTTTGCCTTAGTGATTTCCCGTTTGAAGAACCTGGAGGCTGAGTTATATGCTGTTTTAAGTTCGCTGGTATTGGCATCACGAGATTTCGCCGCTTCCACCCATGCCTTAAAGCATTCTCGCTTTCGACGCGAGGCCGCCTTGCAAGAACGTTTAAACCAGGGCTGAGACTTGCCACCGATCGGCACCGCAGAAAATGGAATAAAGAGTTCCATGCCCTGCAGAACCACTTCGGCGACAGAGGCGGCGACGGAATCTGGAGCTTCCGGCGAAAACAAATAGGCCCCCAAGGGTAGACGCAAAGAAAGACCGCATCCCGTCCCAATCTGCTGACTTATAGTGCCAAATACGGCGACAACCCATAAAGCGGGGCCGTGAAGGGCGCGTAGATGGCACAGTACTCCGGACCACACAATGATCCGATGAACCCAATGGCGGGTCAACAGAGACTTGATAGTTCTCCGGATGTGAAGTCAGCAGAAGGTCCAACAAAGAGGGTTTATGACCATCCACATCTGGTATTCGCGTAATCGCAGGGACCATTTGTGTCAGGTCGTAGGCTAAAGCAAAGTCGTGAAAGGATCTTCCCGCGTGATCGGTGGTTTCAGAGCCGAGCCAATCGGCATGGTGGGCGTTAAAATCACCAAGTATCACGATTTCAGCGGTAGGAACCCTTTCGAGCAGGGAATCTGTAGCCATTTGGATGTGCTCAATGAGTCGGTCAGTTTCGGTATTTCCGCTATGGAACCTATACAGGCATGCGTAGAATCGCGGATGGTCATCGCAGTCAACGCGCAGCCAGAGGTTAGATAGGTCCGTTCCTTCAAGCGTCCCGAGGCGACGAGAACAGATATCCTCTCTGACGTACACGCAAACTCCCGCCCGCGGCACAAATGAATGTTCCAATTTGTACCCCGGGTAGGAGAGGTAGGAAGTATCAGCCGGGGAGGAAATCTGAGTCTCGGTAAGAAAGAGCAAGGCCGGCTTCGCAGTCTCTAAATGGTAGTGGACTGCGTTGATATTGGAATTGAGCCCCCTTAACATTTAATCTAAGAGGTGGACGACTGTGAACGCTTGCAAGGAGATATCGATAGAGTATGTGAGTGGAGCAATAAAAATAAGCTCCAATTAAATATTGACAAATGTGCCATGGTGACATTTAGTCGTGCCAAAATGCCTCGTCATCATGAGTACAATGTGTCGGGGGTGATACTCAAGCGGGAAACGTCAGTAAGAGACTTAGGAGTGCGAGTGGATGCCCAACTGAATTTCCGAAATCATGTAGTGGACATTTGTAAGAAAGCATACGCAAGAATGGGATTTGTGCTTCGAAGGGCAACAACGTTCACTAATATTAAAGCCGTCTCAAGCTAACGTCAACGCGCTAGTAAGTAGCATGTTAGAGTGTAACTCGTCTGTTTAGGCTCCGCAAGAAGCTAAATACTGCCTTATGTTGGAGCGCATACAGAACAAATTTACACGATACCTATATAGCAGACTGTATGGCGTCTATCCCTACTATCCTTTAATGTACCCGACATTATTTGTCTTAGGGATGGTGGGGTACAATAAATTGGAAACCAGACGGGACTTACGTACCTACTGAAAGTCTTGAAGGGTGCAACCCAAGTGTACTCCAAGAACTGGGTCTCTTAGTACCTATGGGATATGTGCGATGGCGAAGGCCTAGGTTATTTGCGATATCAAGGGCAAGAACCAGTCTGTTGCACAGATCCCCGTTATCAAAGACGTTGCGCCTACTGAATGCTGTCTCCGACACTATCGACATATTTATATGTTCACAGAGTGAATTCACAGTAGCTATGTTGTGTATATTATGTGTTTAATATTATATATGTACCTACTTTATTATATTTTATTTAATGTTTCACGACATTATCGTATTGGCATAGTCTGTAAGGATAATGTATGTATTTCTGTAATAATTAAAAAAATTCAAAAGTATATTATAGACGTAGCGTTAGCCATGATTGAGCGATTAACGCACCCGAACACATGATAGAAACTCCGGTTGTAGATTGATTAACAATTTATTTTTCTACGTACGAATTTCGCATGTTTGTACGGTGAAGAAAAATGTGAAAAACCCGGCATATCTTAGACACGTATAGACGATGAAGTCTAACTAGGAGTCTCTTATCGTGCCTAATTTGAAAAAAATATATGAAAGAGATTGTAATATCAGAGACCGTACCCGTCGACCGTCGTCATAAGAATCCTATCACCACCAGAAATTATTTTGATTAGTCGAAAGTAAGGAAAGATTTGGTTTTGCAATTCTAAAACATTGAGTGTTGGGTGCTGCGGTATAATAGACTTTCACAAAATATAAAAAGTGCAGACAGCCTGGCAATATTTAAATTACGGCCATCTCCTGAGTGATCCCAGTTATCTACGTAAATGAAAGTCCATCCAAGTTCTACTTCGCTAATTCATCCTTGAAGCTCTTCAATGACCCACGACGTGATAAATTGTATCTTTAGTATATATAAGTTTTCATGTAAGTGACTATTGTCTGTTATGAGAATAAATGTCTTTAAACCTAACTATAAAAATAATTAGTTACATTAAACTATGTTGTGTATATGTCGCAGCCAACTAGCTTAATTAGCCGTTCAATAAACAGCCTAGCCTCTTAACTAAACAGCGCCATTTAACTAGCGCCCTGAAATATATTCAGCCAGTTGATCAAACAGCTAGGCAGATGACTTGGATCGATGACGCTTCATACTTGTTGGCTGTTATTTTAAATTTAGTTCCACTTTCTGCGTCGGCAAACCAAAACTTTGATAAGTTTAATAAAAACAAGTACATTGGAAGAGTGTAGTGACAATAATAATTTGAATTTAGCTGTGACTGACTCAAGCAATTTAATTTTTAAAGAAATATTTTTTATGTTCGATGTTTCATATTTTTTATTTCTGCCACGTGGTCGCTCTATCGTACGAATGGCCAAAGCATTAGCCAGTCAGTTTATTAAATGTCGTAACAAACGCTACGGCTGAATATATTTCAGGCCGCTTTTTTACGGCGCTGTTTAGTTAAAAGGCTAGGGTGTTAATTGAACGGCTTATTAAGCTAGTTAGCTGTGACATATACATATAACAAGTCTGTATCTTGTTGCGTTTGGTAATTTATCAATGGTTTTAATGCCTTCGCTAGATGTCGCTATACGTAATGTAGCTTTTATTTGAAGATTACTAACTACTTAGTTATCATTTTATTGCAGTCATTGACAAATTCTTTTAGAGCTTTATAGTACAGTCAACTAATACTACAGAATACGAAACTAAAAAATACTAGTAACTAATACAAAGTATATTTAAAGTTTCATTTTCGAACTATTCTACTTCTGGTAAAAGATTAGTTATTTTATAGTTTCAATTATCACTACAACTTTTTTTTTATAGTTTTAACTACATATATACAATTATTAACAATTACTATGGGGACTACTAAAACTGGTGAAAAGTTGACCTACAATGTGTGAAAAAAAGTACAAAAATAAAACACGTATCAACACCATCATACTTTATTTACAAATAATTAAATATAAATAACTTTTGAGCAATATTTACAATTCCGTATTAATTCTAAGTTGTTATTTGCATCACTTTAATAAATAATACTGCGATACAGATTTTGCTACAATTTTATCTTACCCACAAATTGAAACCTTAAATTACTACCAATTATTTTGGATTTTATTACAAATATATAAATCGTATGGTTTTTGTAGTATTATGCGAAGCCTGTTCTCATCATTCTTGAGAAAGACTGGATGATAAGAACTAAAGATTAAAATACATAGTATAGAAACAACTTTCACGTATTTTGCAATGTAAATTACGTTTGTATTCTTAACGAGTACTATTTAATGACTGCAAAAAGTAACATTACCAAGAAACTAAATAAAATATTACAGTTATACATGATCTGAATTTTAAAATGATCAATAAATGAAGGAACATTTCTGTACATTTTTTAAGGCATTATATTGGATAAAAATGAATTTTAAACTTCGTCGGAAGGTATATGAAAAATGGCTCCTAATGAAATAAACTCGGCAATGCTTCGTTTTGCCAACAGGTGGGTCAAGTCTTCACTGATATGGATAGGTCTGCAGATTTTCAGGTCCTAGTTCTCCGTTGAACGCTTGAATTTCTGAAAATAGGAATAACGTCAAATTAAAATTTACCACCTAATTTTTAGATCAACCATTTTGGTGAAACTATTTTTTTAATGAAAATCTTATTTTTAATATTAATAAGATCTCCCTTTCCTTAGATATTAAACAAGTACTTAAAACAAATGATGTATTGTGTATGTTGGACTAATTATTGTAGACAAACAAATGCATACTATTATAAACACTTAATACATATTGCAATAGGAGTGTAAAAAGTCAGTTCGGTGCAGTTGTCTTAACCTGCGAAGAATAGAAGATGAAGTCAGTCAAAGTCAGCCGCAACATACCTCAAGTCAGTCATCAGTCTTTTGTCAAACTTCAACAATCTTGTTCCCTCGTAGAATATATTTGGTATCTTTCTTTCTTCTAGCGCTGTTGCTATCAGTTTTATTTGGAGAAATTGTGGTGGTCGATGTACTGGTCATGGGATCTTCGTCAGGGAGTAGTTCAGCAGGTAGGACACCTATTTCATTGTCACTGACCACCGGAGTGGGAAGGAAAGGAATCTGGCCTTTACGCACCATTTCTGCGTATTGCTCATTGAATTTGGGAACAACTTCCGCCGATCTTTGATGTTCGTTTATAAGAGCGGTTACTTTGTCGAGATTTTTATTTATCTTTTGAATTTTTTCAGGCGTTAAACCTTTTTTATGAATCGGAGGGACAACAGATTTCTTAGATGAAGCGTAATTGTAAGAATGCGGGATTCTTGGATCATAATCGGAATAAGTTTCGACCATTGCAGGTTCACCGTAGGAATCTACGGCTCCCCAGGACATGGGTCTGAATGATGGAATCGGTTGAGGCAGCGGTGGTTCTTGATGCGTCAGGTGGGATTCATAGCTGGGTGCTGCGGAGGAGAAGGCGCCTTTTATAGCGGAGTAAACGGAATTGAGAATGGAGGGTGGAGGCTCCAAAGGCGTGTATCCCGGATGGCTCTCTCCGGTAGACGCGTCGCCGACTGGGGCCAGTATAACGAGGCCAGCGTGCACTCCACTCAGTTTTCCGCGTCCTGTCTCAAAAAATTTTTGGTAAATGAGATACGTCATTTGTCAGTTGCACAACCAATTCACGTAATGCGTTCCTCCTTTCTAAAGATTGTTGATTAATAACTACATCAATATACAAATTGGTTAAACTATTAGGTAATTAACCGTATGAATACCTTAATTACGTGAGACAAATGTAATCAAGACTTAGATCATTCATTCAAGATTCACATTTTGACATAAGTCTGATTACTTAATGCCTTTGTCTAATAATGCCGCAGACTTTAATGCTGTGCATTGTTATCGTTACGATCAGCTAAGAGTAATGACCTAATCTCATTTTGGCACCTTTCACGAGCTTCATAACGCTTCTGTTTGGAATTACGCAAGCTTCAGTCCTGTCACAAAAGTAGGTGACGGTAATACGTCTTCGCGGTGTTCGATTGTATCAAATTCTAGCGTAACAACAAGTAAGTGGCGCTACCACAAATAAAGAGGTCACGTTTCTTATTATGTGATGTTTTGGAAGTTTATTATCTCTACAACACATGGAATGTACCACATTAAAAGGTCTAAAAGAGCTAAAAGTAACTGTTTTTGGTTATAACCAAGACTTGCAAATTCATTTATAAAACAGATAAATATAAAAAGACAAATAAATGAATCTTTAATATAAACACGATGTTGCGTGTTTTGTAACAATTCACGTTTACGCGTGAAATTACCAAAACACAACTAACTTGCACATTTATTTTATTTGTGCTCTATTGTAATATTTATAAACAAAGAAACCTTAGTGAAAACAATGATGGCACTTGACGCCAACTAATCTGTTGCATGCGACTTCGTCAATTTGGCAAAAACGGAAGTTATGAAACTCGTGCATAATTTATTCATATTTTAACTTATGTGCATTTATTTAAAGTTTTTAAAGTATAATTACATCACGGTATGTATTAATGTGTTAGTTAATTATACATCATTTATCATATGGTACCCGATTACATTAATATGTTTCGTAAAATACTATATTTTATAAATGCTATCTTAAAGTCATATTTGTAGATATATTTTACATTAACCTACTAAAACTTATTAAAATTTTTAAGATGAAATTTTAAACAGTCACCTTTTTAAACTCACGTTTGTTGTAAATAAATAAAGAACCTAATAATTATGACCTCTACCTAGGTAATATTGGCAGACACGGTGCTATTTATTTTTTTGTTCTAATCTACTGCAATTTAAACAAAACCTATGATCCTTTTTGTCATTGGAATAAACGAATCTAACAATCGTTTCATCTCATCTGCGTGTTATACCTACGCAATTCTACTATTTACTACTAACTTACTAGGACAATCGATTAAGCGGCTCGACCAGACACAGTTTAAAATGTTTTTAATTAATATATTCAAAATATTTTAGTAAAAGAAAAAATCCAATAGCTATTGAGAAATAAGACAATGGTGATATTATGATAACTTGTGCAAGCCTTATACATAAGAGGACTTTCCAGGAATTAGCCAAGTAGGTTAGTGCTTATGCAATACCTGCTTAGACCTCTCGTTTAAGCTCTATTACGTAAACTTCCTATTTGAAATAAACATTGTGATGGGGCTAAAATTTTACCTAACTCTTCCACTGATGAGTTTCATATATTAACTGTATCAATTAAAAAGTTAGTTTGCGTAATGTTTTCTTGACTTTTTAAACTAAAATTGAAGGAAAAGCTTTGCGTAGCCTGTATTTTTTTAATATTAAATTGGCGAATGTGTCATCAACTCCGCTCTGGTCTAGTACCCGCAAATGTCTTCGGGTATTACTATCTAACTGCATTAATAGAAGTGATAAAGTAGCTTGTTCAGAATAATAATAATCGTAAAATTTTGCCGAATATTTAGGTAAAAGTACTTATAAAACTGAATGAAACTTATGTTACACATGTGACTAAATAACGCCCCAATAAGGAACCCGTTGCTTGTAACAGTTTTTGAATACAAGTTACATTATATGGAGTTACATAACTTGGAGGATACGTAATATATTAGTCCTACTTTGTTTATAATTTTTAAATATGAAGAATATATCATACAATCTAATTATTTCGTGAGATGTAAGTTATAACATCTGACTACAAATATTTATAATTTTGTGTGAAAGAGATTGTTTATCGCTTATAAATATTTGCTAATTATTCGTTTTATTTTAATATATACTTCGATTTGATATAAATATATTTTAAATAATATAAGAATAATGAAGATTTTCTCGAGTACAGTAAAAATTCTGGTTCATATTTTAACCCCAATTAACTTCGTTTTATACGACAATCAAGTTTTGTGTTACGATCTGATTGAGTTGTGATACACTTTCATACGATTTTGTAACCCTAGTCTTCCATATGTCAAGTGAAAGTAGGAAACCAAGTTTCGATACACTAATGAGTTATGTAAGCTTAAAGTTTTCGTTAAGTCGTATACATTTAATGGTTGCTTATAACTAATAAGACATCAATAATGGTAGAATAGTAAGTTTAAATAAATAAATTTAATATTTAGTTACTGAGAGATTATATTATTGATCAAATATTCATTTGTTTATTGTAGCTGTGTAGTTCGCTGTATATTCCGCGTCGTCTATGTTTAGTTATATTGTATGTTATAAATTTTGCTCGCAATTAATACTCCAAGTTTTGACGTACACTTAAGGCATCTTTTTAAGAACATATTATAATTTAGTTCTTGTGAATATACGCTTTTAAAACCGATTGTCTAGCGTAAAAGAGAAAGTGGTTATGCAAATGACGTAAAACTTTGGCAGCCTTGTGAGGTCAAACTGCTACTTTGAATGCTAAATATGAGAGTCAGACATGACCTACATGAAACTTATTTGTATTATTTAACATACGTAATTGTAACTGTATTTTTGACTTATACAGTGGTCAGTTATGGCATAAAAAAGTGTGTGCTGTGTGTTAGAAATTAAAGCATAGATTTGGTGTGTTTGCATAGGAATTTGAAAAACAATTGAAGATCAAACAACAGAAAAACAAATGAATATCAAACAAAGAAGAGCAATTCAGAGTTCGGTGCAGAATCGTTGAGCTTATATCTTACCAAAACGAATTTAATAAATCATAATAACGATATAATAATTCAGGCGACGGTCGAGGCATAGGTTTGGGTTCCTGAACACTATCTACTACTGATGACATCACTATAAGCTCTGAAAAAAATTTGTACTGATATTATGTAATGTGAAACATTTTTGGTATATGTGTGGCAGTTATAACGATTTTACATACAACCTATTTAAGCGAACTCCGGACGGGTGGAGATAAGTTTTTAAAATACATATGTTGATCCTTATTTTGGTCTATCTATGTAAGTGTCAGGTCGCATTCTAATAGTGAATGAATTTTTGAAATCGGTCCAGCATTTTTCGTTACATATATAAAACACGAATGTTTCGTCGTTATAATAGTACAGATAAAATTTTAATTTGCAGAAATTATTAACATTTTCTCATTAATATTCTCATATTGAGGTAGTGAAATTGGGTAATCGTACATTAAAATTTAACAGAAGGTTAGTAAGATTCAGTACAGTTTATATAATATTTTAGATATTTATAAATCGCGGATATGAATCATGAATAAAATTGCTTAAATATTTTTTGACAACGTTGTGTAATTATGATGTGTTGGGTTGTTGCATAATTCTCTTTACTCACTTCCGGACGTGCGAACTTTGATCTAAAACTTAACAGTTTTCAATTGATAAATAACTATTGATTTTAGTTAGATTATGCTTAAATATTTGATTGTATTTTTTCTAATTATTTTCAATGTATTTTAATGAAGCCCTTAATATATATAATTTACGTGTTTTCGATCGATTTATTATTAGCATTACATACCAATAGTTATAATAACAGAACTATATACTTATACGGATAAAATTATAGAATTTATTTTCCCGTAATAATTTAACTGAGATACAGGAAAAATCGTTAAAGCAATGGCTTTATTACTTAATAATATGTTTTAGATAGCATTTTATTACTTAATGACTACAAGGACATACGCTTCTATAATTAATTAGAAAATTAAACGTTTTTGATCGTGGAATCGAATAAACTAGGTAGACTTTTGATCGAATTTGGTAAGAACTAATGAACCAGTGTTGACACAGCGAATATAACTTTAATACACACTTATTGAAAATCTTTGAAATATGGCTTCTAAATTCTTTTTTTAAACAGGGTTGCACAGACGTTTAGCAACATTCCCATCTAATATTAAGTGAGATGCGGCCTATCGGATGGCACACCTGGGAGATGTCTATATAGGCGCCGCTTAAATGTATCCATATTAAACTGTCTAGGGAGATAGATTATACTAGTTAAATATCCATCATTCTTCTTTACGATAAAGACTAAAGAGAACCCACGATGACATTGTCATTTAAAAACTTGATTTGTGTCATTAATATTAAATAAAATTAATTAATTTAATGAGGATGTTTCTCTTGATTAAATGAAGCGGTATGAGATAACGCGTATGTTTAAACTATCAAATTTGTTTCTCGATTTTCACTTGCATTTTTAATAGAAATTTATTATTACCAACAATGTTTCTAAACTGACATAACATGGGCTTATTACCATGATCACTAATAGATTCTAAGTTTTGAATTTTAAGTAAATTTAAAAAAAAAAAGAATTCAGACATTTTTTGAATTCAGCTTAGGTATGTTCAAATTCTGACGGAAATAATCGCTTAGCTCAACCAAGCTGAGCTGTTTACAGCATAGCTTTATATTTCGAATAACAATAGCTTAGAACAATGTTTTCCTTTTATAGTCAAAGGGAAATCTGAGATATTATTTTATGTTGAACTCACTACGGAGTTCAACTCATGGACAACGAAATAAAAAATAAGTTAACTAAAAAACAAATGAATAGTACAATCACCCCTATAACGCGGTAGACCTGGAACTGGACCTGGTATCGCGTTGTAGAACTATTCTCGTAAAACCGTTTTTTTTAACAATTCTAATTCTAACTAGGAACACAAATATAATAAAGTTAATTAGTTTAATATTATAACAACACAATTGAAACAAGTGCAAAGGTACGCAAAACTAATTATGGACTTGACAAATCATTATAAATTTCACGCTACAGAAATATAACTTGAGAAATTTCCACGTTAAATTGGGGTAGAAATCGCGTAATAGGGGTACCGCGTTATAGGATGGATTACTGTACTTGATGTCAAAGAATTATAGATAATTTGACTAGATTATTGTACGATTTGTGGGTGTTGAATAGCGTACAATGTTCCATTATTTAGTAATCTTTGTTGCAATGTTTTAACAAAATCTGAAATTATATTACCGTCAAGATTTGATGGATACTTGTGTGCCGCGTAGCCTGTGGGTGCGGAATGTGTGTACTGAGCGGGGGCTGTCGGGGCTCCGTAGACGGTTGGAGCGTACTCCAAATGTGAGGTCGGTGGTGGGCCATATACTGCTGTTGCTGGAATATTTTCGAGTAAAAATGTTATTTTCTGTGTGAAATATGTTGAATCCAATTATAGCTGTAGTAAACTGTACAATAGAATTTGAACTTCATGCCACTGTTGATAGGGTATATTTCCGTGTAATCTACGTGCGGTTTCAACTCTAACTTTATACAATACATACTTTGTACAAGTCGTAGATCATGTACTGATATAATTGTTTAAAACCAATGGTGCTACAACCTTTTAGATGCAGTTTTCTGTGTTTGTTTCGTGACCATTTATTTTTTCTAATGGGCAAGTAGGTGATCAGCCTTTTGTGCCTGAAACACGCCGTCGACTTTCTGTGTCTAAATCATACCAGTTTCCTCACAATATCTTTCTTCACACCGTTTATACATAGACAGAGAGACGACCTCAGGGATGAGAGTCGCACGCTGAATTCACTAGGCCAACACTGCTCCACTGTTATTGTTTTGAACCTCACCATTTTAAATCTATACAAAATCTGTGAAGTACGATTGTATAATCATACGGAACATATATCGCGATACGCTTGTGTCTATGTAACGTTTAACTTATGTATATTTTCATGGTAGTGAAAGTTGCATTTATATATATATATATATTATTATTATATATGTCGTTTTATTTTATTGGTTGTAGCAAATGTTGACCTCTTACCGCTTTAATATAACCTAACAGAATAACCTTCCATTAAATAACACTAATAATAAATACATGTAGGATGATGGGCATCATAATCTGTAATAACTATTTTATTACAACATCTTATATATGTATGAACAATCTCCAAGTCTGATAGAGGCGTGGGCTGTTATAAGATCTTAGGCTATCTTCAATCCCATCAGTAACCTAAGAGGCAAATTGGACGAAATCTCATAAAATTGGCAAATTATCTTTATTATCTCGGCATACAATTCTTATGTGTTTGCATTTAAATTCAAATCATTAAGATTCAATGTATTCACGCTATAAATTGTTTAAACAATAAATTATTGAGTAACCAGTAAAATATGTTTATAGCTTCATGATCTTGCATAAGTTATCTTATTTCTCAGATATGACAATGATGAGTATCTTGACAATTTGAATGTTGACTTTCACGAATTGTATCTAGTGAATTTCACATGGACAGCTATTATAAATGATGAAGTCCGGAAAATCTAGCATAATCAAAAGTTCTCCAATGAACATAGTGTTCCAGATCAATGTATGAAAAAAAAAGCCGTGTGAGCCGTCACGGAACGCCTGGCAGATGTGAAACATCGACATTATTTTGTAAAAGTAATATGTAGAAAAGAACAGATTGTGATAGGAACTAAATATGTCATATTGATAAAATAAAATATTACGATTTTTTTCCAGATAACGATGACTATTAATTATTGAATAAACATTTATTTTCATTAAATACAAAAATTTACGAATTTATTTCAAATCGTGACTACTTAATTCGTTTAATCAGTGACTTCGGTAATAGTTATATTCGATGTTGCCTCTGAGGACGGTATTACTGTGACAATTGGTCGATATATATGTATATAGCATCATATAGCGTGACTTTCTGGCGGTTTTCGCTGCGACTATAGAATGATGTTCAATAGTCATCAAAATACTAGTCATCAAGTCACATCAAAAATATACGAACTTTAAAAAATGTAACTGTTGTAAAGATAGACAAGTTGTAGATTAGACAATTTGATACAGTTATTCAAATGTAAATAAGACACTAGTAGGTATGTCTTTTAAAAACATTACGCCAGAACTGATCTAAGCGATCGAAGCGATTGTGATTAGCTACAGCGTCTAGACCAATCACAATCAACCGATTCGACCACTCGTTTTGTTGTATCATATCCCGCAGAGCTAGATAATGGAATTCATACTAGAGAATATAAATCTATTAAAGAGTTTCACTTACAATGAGGTTTCTTCTCGCTCAAGGCAGCGGAGGCAACAATCTTCCTTCCGAAATTGCTTACAGCATCACCCTTCCCAGAGATGACTTTACCAAGAGTAGCAGCTAAGGCACCTCCTCCTTTAATCAGCTGACCCTTGAGGATGGTCACTCCTCCTGTTATAGCTTTCACAGCTTGGAAGAGCGTGTAGAGAATGGATTTTTTAAGCCCCACGTAGTCGTATTTTTCTTCGTGCTGTAGGTAAAAAAGTTGTATGGAAAGTGGTCTGTAAGTATGGGTTGTAACGAACTGTTATTTATTTATTTCGTTATTCTACAGCTAACACAAAGCCTAAGGCCTGAGCATTAGCCAACCAGTTTAATAAATGCCGTAACAAACGCTTCGGCTCAACATCTTTCAGACCGCTAGTTAAACAGCGCCGTTTAGTTAGCGCCGCCGCCGCGCGCCGTAGCGACATATACACAATACAAAGTTCATGTCGATGTTTGATCATCGTTATAGCATTTCTGTAGACCCTCATGGTTAGATAAAACTGAACCTTGGTATCTGTAGCACTTTCGTAATAACACTCTTCATTACGTACTTACGGACATTTCAATACAATAGAGATAATTGAAAATTGTTCTTGAAGAACATTTAATAATAAGTAATTACCGGTTCATAAGAGTATCCTGTGTGTTCCGAGTGACCTGTTTTGCTTGATGCTGAAGCAATCAGCGAGGATGCGCCAGCAGACGCTTGGCCGAGGAAACCGAGTTTGCTTTGTATACCTGATGATGCTTTTGACACAACCGAGGTCAACGCTTGTGCTGACGATCGTTTAGTCCTGTAAAACTCGACTATTTTATAACTGTTTCATGTTATTAATAGTATAAAGTAATTTATAGAGGTTATACTGGCGTAGAAAAGGGGTGACAATCTAACTTCACGATAAAATATTATAATAAATTTATCTATTGGTTTCCAAAAATGTAGTGATAGTAACATTATAGTTGAGTAAATCTAAGATAACCTTTATTTCCGATATCACGAGTAACCACACTTATACTTCTGGGTATTAGTACTTTCATATGAATGATAATAATCAGAATACTACTAGAATTAATTTTTCAAAACGTAAATTTTATCGTATTATCACCTCATGATCTCTTCGGCGGCTAGACCTTCAGCAAGAGCCTCCAGCTGTTGTGGTGTCATCCGACTTATCGCAGCCATGTCGATGATGTCAAATGTGATGGGCTGGCTTGGCGCGGGTGCTGCCAATGATGACGCCATGCATGCTATGCATATCCAGACCTGAAAAGGAAAGTATTACTTATACCTTATTTTGTGGACAAAAATATATAGGTATGTAGGAAAGTAATGAAAAACGTTATTTTATCATTGCGCTTATTTGTGGGGGTATTGTACCTTCTTTATGATCTCCATTGCGGCAGCGCATTTAGATATCTACATAAAGTTATTATTTACAGTATATAGTTGAACAATGTTGTTGTTGAACAATGATGACGAGCTTATTTGTTACGCGTTTACGCTTAAATATCTTATAAAATTATTTAAAAAATTGACATCTAAATTGGTTTAGAATTCTATTTATAGATGATCTGATGATCTTGTTAAAAATGGAATTTCTATCATTTGGATCTCTTAAGCATAAAAAGTAATTAATAAATAGTAGTTTTCAAAAAACACATCATTTATGTCACATTATAAACACGTATATCGTTGTCATTCTTCTTTTTATGTAAAATTGGGTTAACACTATAATGAAGACAGATCAGTGCTTTTCTTAAAATGGCTTAGTAATATATAAGACCTTATAACATTTAAATTAAACGACGTAAGTACTTTTTAGCCTTTGTTTACATTTACTTAGTCACGTTCGCTAATGAAATCGAAAGCGGTTAGTTCACTTATTAGGTTAGGTTCTGTCGAAATGGATATTATTATAATTAAATCATGGATTATGAATAACATAATATATACTCTGATTTGCATTAGATTAAATTAATAAATATACCTACTATATTATATATCAAGTGCACTAAGGAAAACAGTTGAACGTATTTTATATTATTATTTCTAATATGACAATTGACTACATTTCAATGACAGATAACGCTTAAATTAACTGGTTGAATAATTTTACATAATATCTATGCTATATTATACACATAATTATATAATTTGATTAGATGTATATACAGATTTCTTATAATGACTTAATGTGTTTATACAGAAAGTGTATAAAATCAATATATATCAATAGAAATAAATAAGTATAGAGGAAGTAAGGTGTTGACTCAACTTATGGATAACAAAGCCACAACGCCTTGGCAGTGAAAAGCGAAAGTTTTTATGCTCGCGCGCACACTACATCGATTTCTTCCGTATAATCGCACGGCCTTCGAGAGGTTAAAATGTTATGTAATGATTAAAAAAAACAATAGGTTTTAAACATGATGGTGAAAAGAGCAAAATGAATAATTCTAACATATTATAAAGTATTTGAACTAAAAAATAGTTTTTAGAAAAATTTTGATTTATAAAATATAAAAATAATAAAGTAAAATAAAAAAGCATTTTTATTTCTTGCAAATGAACAAAGTTATCTTAATCCATATAATATATATTTTTAAAGAAAATAAATTACACTTTTTTTTTTCCTATTTTTATATCTATTTCCTAATTTTTTTTGAACCCTTCCGCAGGTGAAGGCCTCCTCCAATGATTTCCAAGTATCTCGGTTTTGGGTGAGTTGCATCCAGCTCTAGCCTGCCGTGTTAGTAATATCATCCACCCATCTCGAAAGCGGTGTTCCTCTGTTTCGTTTCCCAATAGGGCCTCCCCACCGAGGAATAATATCGAAATATATTCTTTGCTTTTACGTACCTCCTCGTAAGTGTATTATGTATAATTAAGTGTTATAAAAGAAGTAAAATGTTGAACATTTGCTAACAAGCTCATTATGCTATGATAATTAAGTGAAAGGATGCGTCAGAACAAAATCGGAACAGTGCAGTGGGGCAACTGCGTGTTGACCAAAATTATGTAATAAACGTGTAGGAAAGATACTGCAGATTTTGAATATACTTTCAGGTCTACTAGGTCAAACATATACGCCTGTGGCAAATATTTATATGAAAAATCTTACAGCGACTCAAGTTAATTCTATACAATTTTTTTCAACAAATCTTGGTGCGTTTCATACTTTTAGTATTGTTAAGATTCAGACACTACATTACTTCTGAATGACATAGTAAATGTCATACATGATTGTGATTAATTTATGTGCATTTGTTTATCGTTAATCAAGTTTCACACACCTCGTACGGTGAAGGAAAACATCGTGAGGAAATCGGCATATATTAGATCGACGGTGTATGTTAGGAACAGAAGGCTGATCATCTACAAGTAGAAAAAAAGTTGTCAAAAAACAGATACAAAATCATAGGCCCAGACCTAAAACCTTGTAGCGCCGTTGTGTTTTTTTATCTAGGTAATAAAATGACTCAATTAATATCAATTTCAAATTGGATCTCTTCTGTGTTAATATAAATTTGTCACTGGAAAGTATAAGAATTACATTTCCTTCGCAAAACGAGTATTGCGATGCCATATGGATCCTTTATCAAATAGCTGTTATTATTAGTAAACGTAACTGCATAAATATGTAATCGATGGTAATTTAAAAATATCATAACGGAAATCAACAATAAACATATTATCATTTCGAGCAAGGATTACAAAATATGCGCTTGGGTGATTCCAATGATGATGCCTTTGTGACATTTTACGGATGGTTCTGATTATTCTTCAGGTCGTATACCCTAGCTTTCCTTCCGTGGCTTTTCTAGAATGGTTTTAGAAAGATGTGCGAACAACTCGTTAAATACTAACTAACCGAATACAAAATAGTACAGTATTTTTAACTGCAGGTTTAACGCTTAAAAAATTTATTTAAAGTATCTTGTAAATGCAAATTTAAAGGATTTTATTAGTAGACTATGTCGCTGTATAGGAATAATAAGTTTATACATATTTTTACATTCATTTATGTCGGGGCCCGAATCTAAAATGTAGAATTTCGTGAAATGTTGATTGACTATAATCCAATGTTTAACGACATTTCAATCAACGTTTGGCCTCTTAATGTTCACGATGCAGCTAAAATTTGTGATCAGATCGTAATATACCTACTACGCTTAAGGGTTAATATGTAGTATTTGAAATAAAAATACAGCTTCAAATACCTACTCCTATTGAGGCAATGAAAAAAGTAAGCATAATATATTATATTAGTATTGTTTAGTAATTTTTTTTAGTAATAATAATATAATTTTTACACGATAATTTCGATGCATTCCAAGATATTGACCAAGCCCATTACACAGAACGCTTAACAAGACCCGCTTTCTTTCCTGTCCACATTCAACACCAAACAGGTAAAAGGTCTATGACATTAACTTAAAGACCAGCTGATTTATTTTAACTTTAATTATATTTCGACCTACTTGGGCTTTTAAATCCTGTACAGATTTACGAATCACTATATATTATTATAAAGATTTTTATTAAGATACTAGCTGACCCGACAAACGTTGTTTTGCCATGAATATTATTTCTAAGAAACATTGTTTTAGTTCAATAAAAATAACTATCTGGTATAATAAAAAATAGGGGTTGATCGTGGAGGAGTGACAATTAAGGTTTGTATGTTGTATCATAAAAACAAAAAAATTGTCTAAAAAGTAAAAAAAATTTTTTGGGGTGAACACCCCTTATCACTTAAGGGTTTGAAACAAAGATAGTAGCTGATTCTCAGATTTACTGAATATGCATAAAAAAATCATAAGAATCGGTCGAGCCGTTTCGGAGGAGTATGGGAACGAACATTGTGACACGAGAATTTTATATATATAGAGATTTTATTTTGCAATTTCATGTATTGTTTATTCAACTTTCATAGAATATAATTTTTTATTTGATCAGTTTTGACCTTACAAAATTCTGCATGCTTAACAACTATATATTACATTATTAAAGCTTAGAATAAATTTTACATCTCTTTCATAATATTCACTACTTTTATTTTTTTAAATTACACCATATTTTACAAATACAACGTCTCATTATCATACCAACTTCTATACATCTATATAATATTTATGATATACTTAATTTTATTATTGATATATTGTGATAACTATCTTAATAAAAATAGCAAATATAATATATCAACTAATCCATCTATTAAATTTTATCTCAATTGCATGAAAATTGTTAATAAATTTTTAATCAAAACTGATCAAATAAAAATTATATTTATAAATTGAATAAACAATACATAAATTGCAAAATAAAATCTCTATATATATAAATTTTTCACAATTTGTTCCATACTCCTGAAAGTGAGATTTTATATTTTTTTAATTATAATCTGAGAATCAGCTACTATTTTTTTCACCCTTATGATAATTTCACCCCAAAAATTTTTTTACTTTTTAACAATTTTTTTTTTATGATACAACATACAAACTTAATTTCACTCCTCCAGATCAACCCCTATTTTTTATTATACCAATATTATTTTTATTGAACTAAAACAATTTTTTAAAATAATATTATCAAAACAACGTTTTCTCATATATTTAATAAAAATCTTTATAATAATATATATGATTTAAATTTACAATTTAAAACCAATATGAAATATAATTAAATTAAAATAATAGCTGTCTTTAATTAATTATAATTTATTTTTTATAAAATTTTTAATTTTTAATTTTAATATTTAATATAAATTATTTAAAAATTATATTATTATTACTAAAAAAATTACTAAACAATACTAATATAATATATTATGTTATTTATTTATAATATATTTAATTATTTTTATTTCAAATACTACATATTAACCCTTAATATATATATTACATCTATAAAATTTTATCATTAATTAATTATTAATTTAAAATTATTATATATCAAATTTAGAAATTTAATTTTAATTCCATATAATTAAAATATTCTAAATTATTATTTTATATAACATATTATAATAAAATCTTTAAATTATTTAAATACTTTAAATAAATTTTTAAACTTAAACCTGCATTAAAAATAGTATATTTTTATTATTAGATATAATTTATATTTTTTAAATTTATTTTTTTATTTTTTTTTATTATATTTTATTTTAAAAAATTTTTATTTATTTAGAACTAAAATTTTGAAACTTTAAAAAATTATTTTTGAATTTTTTTATTTAATATATATTAAATAATTATTAAATAAGTGTAGATAAAACTTATATATTATTAATTTATTAAATTTATTATTCTTTTTTTTGATAAATTATAATAATAAGCTTTTAAATAATAAAAATGGTTTATATTTTAAAATGAAAATTAGAACTATTTTTT